GTGGCCTGACGTCACAAGTACCCACTGCGAAGAAGCATCGTCAACGCACCAAGTCTGTACAACGCCAGCGTGCCAAAGGTAAGTGGCGATCAAACCAGCTCCGATACCAAATTGCAAGGAACATGAATATGGACGAAGCACAGAAATCTAGAATGCAAAATCACACTGAAGTCCTAGTCAAAGCCAAAGCAGATAGCACATGGAAAGTAACCATCCAATTGAGAATGATACAGAAGAATCGTGAGTCAATGTCCATGCCCTACAGGGCAACACCAACAGCATAACCCAAATATAGCTCTCTCTTGTGAAGGGCGCCTGGCGCCCTATCTACTCTACAGCTATCCTACAACTACAGCAATGAAAAGCAACCAGACAACTTGACTACCAGCGAGTGATGATGTCAACCCCAATGCCGACCTCCACCTCCTCCAGGTACGTGTCCTCTTCCCCACACTCTCCCTTGTTACCCACACAGCGCCCTTCACCTCCGAAGTACCACCTTCGCCCTCACCTCCCCTGCACCCTCATGCGGCCAGGCTATGGCCGCCAGTGCCCTGCGTGCAGGCAGCGCCCTACCGCCTAGCGCTGGCCTGCTTGCTCTTAGCGCAGCACTGCTTTGCACAGCGCAGCACACATGCATCCGCACAGCGTGCCCGCAAGTGCCAGCATTGGCCAAGATCCCTGCTGCCTCGCCCTGCTTGCCTATATGCCAATGCAGCGTGTGGGCGGCCTCCCTTCAGCCTGCGACCAGGACCCAGAGGCTGAAGCCAACTCGATACAGTTGAGCCCCGGGTCAATGCAGTTGCGCCTCTTTCATCAAGGCCTGTGCCCAGATTCAGATAGTGGGCCGATTTCCCTTTGGCATTTTCGGCCTCTCTACCCAGCATGCATTGTCGGCCTCACGTTCGAATGCCCAGGGCCTAACTAACTCAGAGGCCCTGGGCTTTCAGCATTTGCTGAAATCCGAGACTTGGTACACTCCAACCAACTGGCGTGCTGCAACTGTATGAGCCCCACTTCGTGAAATGTTGGCACAGAGGGCTCTTGTTGATTTGCTGGCCCGCCTTCACTTAGGGCGGGCACAAGACTTGCTGGGGCCTTAGCCCAGAACATGTACATCATGGCAAGGCCCCTATTTGAGGGCTCAATCCTCACATATTGTTTTCTTGATTATTATTAAGAAATAATTAATTCATTATTAATCATTAATTAAACTTTATTGATTATTAATTCGTTATTATTTTCTTATTTACGAATTTTGAGTTGTTTTCAGGGAAAGTTTATCTTTTTCTGGTTGATTAGGTGTCTTAAGTCCATCATTGGGACAGGGGCTGTATGAGAATTGCCTGATCTGTTCTACCCCTGTACCCACCCTCTCCCTCTCACTGTTCTGCGACCATTCAGACGGGCCAGCCTTCAGCAGCAGTTCACTGATGCCAGCAGGGCAAGCCACCGAACAGCAGCCACGATGCAGCAGGAGGATCGCAGATCGCCAACAGCAACAGCAACAGCAACAGCAACCTGCATTTCGACGGCAGCCACAGACCAGCACTCAGATGGCGAACACGCCGAACAGCGGGACGTCATCCGAGACGTCGACATCTAGCAATGCCGAACCATTGCCGGTCTGTCCTGCTCAAGGGCCGAATGAGCCCATCGCGGACTACATTCAGAGAGTGCAGACCTATACGGCCGCACTAACCCTTGCCAAGGAACGGCAAGATGCTGCCGAAGCAGACAAACAACGGCTAGCAGCAGAAGCTGCAGCCCGCGCCCAGCAACAAGCTGAGGCGGCGCAGTTGGCGACCGACCAGCTCAACGCCGACGGTGCCGAGCTTCTGATCTCTCAACAAGACCAATGGACAGCGGTACTCAACGGGATGCGTTATGTTCCCGTAGCAGGCGCCGAGCCGACGGCAGTACAACAGGAGAGACAAAACCTGGCAGACATTCTACATTCTACTCAACACAATGCGTGCCGTCATCTGGAACAGCACCATGGGGGAACTTCATTCCCAATCTACACAGCAGCTACAAAACGATCTCACCCATAACGTGAAGACGCTTGCAGCAGCCGTTAAGGTCGCGGACTCCCAGCTGAAACAGATGGACGCCCGCATTGCTGCTCTGGAGGCAAGGCCTTCCCAATCAGCGCCAGGCTGCATGACAGACACGACGAAGCAGCTCAACGGGCGCATCGACCATGTCGTCAATCTCATCGGCGACCTAGGTGCTTTCACTGGTCCGGACACGATCAGCAGCACGGTGGCCGCCATCAAGACGGACATCACCAAGCTGCAGACAAGACCGGACGCCGCTACTAAGAATTACAAGATGCTGCACTTCAACATCAGCAAGTTCGACGACTACAACAAGACAGACGCCTTGACATCGTGGCAATGTTTCCCCACGGAAGCCTCTTGCCGCACTGTCCCGGCTGAAGACATGTTGAAGGCGCTTTACCTACAACTGATTGGAGGAGCACAGGCATGGATGAACCATTTGGCGGCAACCAAGCAATGCACCATCGCCGAACTCCACACGCACATTACGTGGAAGGAGTTCGAGCAACTATGGTTCACTCGGTTCATGGTCCGCAACGTCGTGAAGGCGGCCATGAACGAGGTGTATACCAGCTCACAAGGAAGCATGCCAACTCGAGACTGGACAATCAAGTGGCAGAAGATAGTAACCACGTCGGGCTTCGATTTGAGTTTTCCAAACCAACGATCCGATTTTTTCTCGCGATCGTGCACAGGATTGCGGTCGGCACTCGGCAACAAGTACGACTATGCCTCGTTCCAAGCTATTCTGGATCGCGCGAACCTGGTCATCCAAACGGACGACAAGGCCGCTAACGAGAAGCAGTCCCAGCCGCACTATGTGGCTAAGCAGGGCTATCAACGATCGGCACATAACAATGTCGTGATTTATGAAGAAACAGTCGATCTCCACGCTGCAGCAGCATCCTTGGGTGATGGAGGAGTTCTTGCAGCGCTCCCGCCGAAGCGTCCCAAGAGAGTTCGGAAGAACAAGGCGACAGACGCGACGACATCGGCAGGAACTGGGCAGCAACCATGGACGGCATACAAGATAACCAAGGAAGTATATGACCTTCGTCAACGGTACGGATATTGCCTTTGGTGCAATGGTGTCACTCACTTGACCGCACAATGCCCCGACAAGGGCAAGGCACGTGTACCCCGTCCAACAAACTCGGGAAACTGAGTTGCGCAAGGAGAGAGGCGACGTCTCTCCTCACTCCACCGGAACCGGTTGCCTTGCTAGCAATCGATGTCACGACCGGGGAGCATGCGTTAGTCGCTGATTCTCGTGCTACGTACGAGGATTATGCCGCCCAACTGGTACCACCACTAGATCAGTCGAGCCACGTGCACTTGGATTGCGTATGCGCAGCCTGTACACCATCGGCAAGTGATCCGGTCAGCTCGCCACTGATTTCCGAGGACTCGACGGCGTGGTCAAGACTTGAGGAGCTTGACCCGCTTACGAGAGAGGACTTCGCTTGGATGCCTCTACCCTCAACCGGAACCTTGCCGAGGCCGCACTGCAATGCCTTAGTGGCAAATCTACGCTCCTATTTGCACACTACAGTACCAGCTCCGTTGACGGACGACGGGGTAGCGGTTGTCGATCTCCGCTCCTATCTTGCGAAGATTGACCGCGAGTATGCCACCCAAAGGTACGCCGAAACCGATGCGCCTTTGCTCTATATCCGCATTCAAATCGGAAAGGCAACCTTTAGTGCCTTGATTGATTGCGGAGCGTCTCGCAACTTTATGAGCCAAGCCTTTATGGCCCGCGCCGGCCTTGGCCCGTGCGTTCGAAGGAAGACGCAACCTGCGCAAGTTACACTCGCGGACAGCCCCACGCAAAAGTCAATTGACCGATGCGTCGACAACGTTCCAGTATACTTTGCGCCACTTGCGTGCGAGCCGGTGTCTTTTGACATCCTCGACACCAAGTTCGACATGATTCTAGGCATGTCTTGGTTGCGTAGCGCCGATCATTCGGTGAACTTCCACGACCGAACCGTTCACATCCGTGATCGGAACCGAGTGTTAGTCCCATGTACAGTCGCGACCCCTCACACATCGATTGCTTGCCACGTGGTTTCCGTTGCGAGAATTCGCGACGCCATAGCTCGGAATGACGTCGAGGAGATGAGCCTTGTATTCTTGCATGCTCTTCCCTCGCCGGACGGACCAGCCGCGTCACCACCGGACCCATGCATTTCTCACCTCTTGGACGAGTATAGAAACATCTTCGAGGTTCCCACCGTAACGGTTCCGGATCGGCCCGTACGTCACGGGATCACTCTCGAGGTTGGTGCCGTCCCTCCGCGTGGATGTATTTACCACATGAGCGAAGAGGAACTCCAGGTGCTTCGCGCACAACTCGATGACCTTCTCGACAAGGGCTGGATTCGCCCTAGTTGTTCGCCTTACGGTGCCCCTGTTATCTTCGTCCGGAAGAAGAACAAAGATCTACGGTTATGCATCGACTATCGCAAACTTAACGCACAAACCGTAAAGAACGCCGACCCTCTCCCTCGGATTGATGATCTCCTTGAGCGGTTAGGCGGCGCCACGTACTTCTCGAAGTTGGACTTGAAGTCAGGTTACCACCAGATCAAAATCCAACCTCAAGATCGGTACAAAACCGCGTTCAAGACGCGGTGCAGGGGCCGTACCCTGAAGGACTTTCAAGCCTGAGTCGACCCCACTGCGGGTCCCATTTGGCTCGACCCGCCCACGCTCACGCTCAGGGCGCGGGTCGTTCGTCCCAGGGGCATCCCCACCTAGTGCTTTGAGATAGATGGGGATGGACCTTTGCGAGAGGGTTTTACATTGGGGGACGTAGCTCTGCTCTCGCGTCAAGATGGTAGCTCCTTGGTCACTCGTGGCGATTTCTCGATTCAATTAAGTCTGATCAGGCAATTGCTCCTTCCAATACACAAGTAGTCCAAGGAGTTCGTTGAGGATTCGTCTTCTTGCCGTGCGCAGTCCAAGCGTCATCCATTGGGCTACGCACCTTTTCACTAAGTCTAGTGGCTCAAGACGGCCCCTACGACATCCTCGGGGTGGGGTGGTTTCGCGGGGACCCCTAGCCGCTATATTTTTTTTTGCTTGAGTCACTAGTGTTGCATTCACCTATCCAAGACCGCCCTTAGTCCTTCCGGGCGTACACTGCATTCAAGAGAGTCATTGCATTCAATCACCATGCAAGCCGCATCCGGGTATCTACCATTCATCCAAGCATCCAACCGTCAAACCCATCCTGCATTCATAGTTTATGCGAGGTCTAAGTCCCTCCGTTATCCAGTTTTTCCGGTGGATCCAGTCCCGCTCGACACCCATCCCGAGCTACTCACCTCCACAACACCACACGAAGCATGGACCAAATACAATCCCCATTGGGGTCAACACACCGCCCCTTCCCACAATCCTAAGCTTCCTTTGCCCTTCGATGATCCTTTGGTTGTCTTTCCCTTCCCTCAAGCAAACCATGCCTTTATCTTAGTCATGCAGTCGGGGAGGATGGTTGAGTCAAACTGACCTCGTTACAAAAACARCACTCCTTTCCGCTTTCTCAGATGCTCACAACAGTCTGGTGCCCTTCCTTCTTSGTGGCACAAGGGACCGGCTGCCCTCCYCTTGCCCTCGCTTTCCACCAAGTGAGGACCAAGTTCTTTMCCGTTCGTTCCCTGRCAATGTAACAGGTGAAGGTTGAGGTTAGTCACATGCCATGGAGAGGAGGGGGTGAGAGGACAGTTAAGGTCTAGGTTTAGAGGAAAGGGAGCGAGGGGAGAGGGAAGGAGAGAGGGAGACAGAGAGAGAGAGAGAGAGAGAGGGAGAGAAGGAGGAGAGAGAGACGAAAGGAGGAAGAGAGGAAGCGAGAGAGAGAGAACACGAGAGGCCCCACATCCTAATCGCCCTTGACCCTTGACCCTTCTTACCCTTCTTAACCGGCCCTACCCGGGACTTCGCGTGCCCCTTTGAGGCCCCTATGGCCCTCAAATGGATGAGGGAGGTGATAATCGAGGAAGGGTTGAGGTGGTCGGCTATGGTGGATGGGTGTAGGTGACGGAGGTGGAAGAAGGGTTAGGGTGGTTGGCTATGATGGATGGGTGTAGGTGATGGAGGAAGAAGAAGGGTTGAGGTGGTTGGCTATGGTGGATGGGTGTAGGTGATGGAGGAAGAAGAAGGATTGAGGTGGTCGGCTATGGTGGACGGGTCCAGGTGATGGAGGTGGAAGAAGGGTTGAGGTGGTCGGCTATGGTGGATGGGTGTAGGTGATGGAGGTGGAAGAAGGGTTGGTGTGGTCGGCTATGGTGGATGGATGTAGG